GGTTAACCACCCCCAATGATCGCGTCCAGCAGATGGAGGCAAAGCTGGAGAGGCTGGAGAAGAAGGTTGGAGAGAAGAATAACCGGGACAAACCCCTCGCAGGGTCCCCGTTCACTACAAGGGTCCATCTGACACTTTTCCCACGAAAGGTCAAGATAGACGCCCCAAGGTTTACCGGCAAGGAGGATCCAGAAATACATCTGGATTCTTTCAACCAAAGTGCAACTATGAATGGTTGTACGGATGAAGAAAAGTGCCTCCTTTTCTTCCAAACCCTGCGGAATCGAGCTACTGAATGGTTCAACAAACTTCGCCCGGGAAGTATTGATTCATTCAGTGACTTGGCCTCAAAATTTAAGGCCAAGTTCCAGGAAAACTGTACTAAGAGGAAGAAATTCACCTATCTTAGTACAGCCGGGCAGAGGGAATCTGAGAACCTCACTCAGTTCCTTACCCGGTGGAAAGAGGAGGTAGACAAGGTTGAGGAGATGGACGACAAGACGGTGTTGTCCCTCCTCCTGAACGGCTTACGTGCCGGGGAACTATACAAGGAATTTTGCCGGAAACCCCCGGCCACGTATCAAGAAGCCTACCATACTGCATGGGAGTTCGCCGAGGCTGAGACTCAACTCCGGGCGAAGAAGGAAGCCGAGCATGGTTACAAGCCCAAGCCGGTGCAAGTCAAGAAGGAAGAAGTGCCGGTACCCAGCCGGCCGAGGCATCACTATGACCCGGTCGTCCGCGTGGTCAACACAGAGGAGTGCCAAGAAGTAAGAAAAGCACCGGTCATTCCTCCGGAAATTCCTACCGGTCAAACTGGGCGTCAGTGGTCGGGCACCTATTGTTCGTACCACAGGTCAGATTCCCATAGCACTTTCGAATGCAAGAGTGTTAGGGGGGGGTAATCCGGCAGATGATAGACAGCGGAGAACTGGGCAAGGATTATCTACAGAAAGCCCAGGAGAAGAGTCATCAATGGGTTAGGCCAGCTATCCCGGAGGATGACCGGGACAACGACCGGCGGAGGAATAACCGGCCGAAGGAGCGGCAACCTGTCCCTGAAAAGGAACACATCGGCATGATCTTCGGCGGACCTGAGGGTGGAGACTCAGCCGCGCAACGGAAGAACTGGGTTTGCAGCATTTACGTTGGTGAGGTGAGTACCGAACCGGCCAGGCGTAAGTATCCCAGGAGGGAGCCAATAGTCTTCACTGACCGGGACCTCCCTCCTACCGGTGAGGATCACAATGATCCATTGGTCATCACCATGGACATCAACGGGGTGGACGTCGCCCGTGTACTTGTTGACACCGGCAGCAGTGTCAACATCCTATACCTGGAGACTTTCCAAAAACTTAGGTTGTGTCGGACACAACTTGAACCCCTCAAAACTCCTCTCTCAGGTTTCACGGGAGACATAGTGGAAGCTGAGGGGTCCATAGTTCTACCGATCGAACTAGGATCGGGCGAAAAGACCGTGTGGAAGAAAATGCGGTTTATCGTTGTGGACATCAAATGCGTCCACAACGCCATCCTTGGAAGGCCTGGCATCAACAAGGTTGGGGCGGTGATTTCCATGCCTCACCTATGCATGAGGTTCCACACTCCGGGCGGTGTGGGAGAAGTGAGGGGCGACTAGAGGAATGCCCGGGAGTGCTACGCCCGGGCGGTTAAAAAGATGACTAAGGGGGTCAACGTCATCTCCCAAGAAATCACCAAGGGAGAGACCCGGGAGAAATTGGAGCCCGAGGCCGAGACGGTGGAAATCGAACTTCACCCGGGTGATTCTTCAAGGATGGTCAGAATCGGAGCCAACCTCCTAGAAGATCTCAAGGCAGAGATTACACGGGTGCTCCAAGAGTACGCGGGCATATTTGCATGGAGCGTGGCAGATATGCCCGGAATTGACCGCTCAATCATCTGTCACCGGTTGGCAGTAAGGGAGGGAAGTCGACCGGTTGCCAGAAGAAAAGGTACCTGGCCAGCGACCGGCGAGACTTCGTCAAGAAGGAGGTGAAGGACCTCCTTAGTGTTGGTCACATTCGGGAAGTTAGATACCCAGATTGGCTGGCCAACGTTGTCCTTGCTCCCAAAGGCGACACTTGGAGAATGTGTGTGGATTATACGGACTTGAACAAGGCTTGTCCGATGGATTCATACCCCCTCCCCAGTCCTGATCAAATGGTGGACTAATTTGCGGGGTGCGAACTCCTGAGTTTCATGGATGCCTTCAAGGGCTACCACCAGATATACATGGCCAAGGAGGATGAAGAGAAGACGTCATTCCTCACACCCAAAGAAACCTACTGTTACCGGGTAATGGCGTTTGGCTTGAAGAATTCGGGGGCAACCTACCAGCGCATGGTGAACAAGCTCTTCAAACCACTGCTGGGAAAGACCATGGAGGCATACGTCGACGACATGCTAATCAAAAGCCAGGTATCTCTCAAACACCCGGCAGATATGCGCGCCACATTCGATATCATAGCAAGATACAAGCTCCGGTTGAATCCCAAGAAGTGCGTCTTCGCGGTTCATACCGGGAAGTTCTTGGGGTTCTTGGTGACCAAGAGAGGAATAGAGCCCAACCCAGAAAAAATCCGGGCTATCACTGAAATGCAGGCCCCCACATCTGTGAGGGATGTCCAGAAGTTGACCGGTCGTCTAGCGGCACTCAGCCGGTTCCTTTCCCGGTCAGCTGAGAGGTCCCTGCCTTTCTTCAAAGTCCTGAAGAAGGCCAACACTTTTGCATGGGACGAAGAGTGCCAGAGGGCATTCGAGGAGCTGAAAGAATACCTAGTGTCAGATATTGTATTGTCTAAACCCCAGCCGGGTGAAACTCTGTATCTGTACCTGGGAATTTCCCCAAATGCTGTAAGCTCTGTTTTAATAAGAGATGATGGGGCACAAAAGCCTATTTATTATGTGAGCAAAGCACTAAACAGAGCTGAAAGTAGATACACGGCGATGGAAAAAACAGCCTACGCGCTTTTCATCTCCGCAAAGAAGTTAACATCCTACTTCCAAGCTCACCCGGTAGAAGTCTTGACTGACCAACCGCTGGGTGCAGTGTTGCGAAATTCAACATCCTCCGGGAGGATGGTGAAGTGGGCGATGATGTTAACTCAATTCAACATTGAGTACCGGCC